TTTGAAACAGTAAAGTTAAGGGTCGGCAAATAATATCCCTCATCTCTTTTAACACTATAGGTAAGATGCCTTCAGGGCCCTGTGATTTATTTATTTTGAGCTTAGCTAGGCTTTGCAAAACATCAGCTTCAGTTATATATATATTAGTTACACATTAGTATTAGTATTATATTAGTATTATTACACATTATAATTCAGTCAAAGCCACATGTCTCATTTCTTTGTTCCCCCAGTGTCTTTACCATCACATATTCCTTTTTTGTTCATTAGAAACACATGTAACATTCCCTGTTTATGGCATATAATAAATTAATGACAAGAAACACCTCAAAAGTTTTGGGTTGCAAAGCAGTTTGAGCAAATTATGGTTCTCAACAAGATGTTGTAGACCAAACCTATGGGGAAGTTCTGTCATAAGGCACTTTCCCACCGAAGTTCAGGAACCTAGTTACTGAGTCCGAGTCCCTGGGCCGTTTTTATCAGAAACTTTTGTTGTCCATTTTCTTGTGTTTTCTCACTGCATAAAAGGAACTGTGACCTTTATTCTGAACATGCATGGGATAAATAAGAAAGCTCATGGTTCAACTTTAGACATTTCATACTAAACTACACTGCTACTCCAAAATAATGAAGGACGAACAAGTTGTTTTTTAGTTATTTATTATTTACTGGGGGGATTGATTGTGATATTAGTCAAAACTGTTTTGGCTAACGATTGAATTTTCTTATACAGAAATATGGAGACACAAGCAAAAAGGTATTAACTGATGTATTTAATTTAATTGACATACAAAATTAATTCAATTTGCTCAATTTTTGCTCCACTACATGTCTCTTTTCCCCTGCCCTTCCATGTAACTTCCACATTAGCGGAGGTGCTTGTGGTCAACCAATCAGCAAGTTTATCATGGCCCATCCCAGTAGTTTGTGGTCGAATGAAAAGTACCTAGTCCAGAGTAGGGAATAAGGGTGCTTTTCCACTGCACCAAGTACCATACTTTCAGTACAGTACTTGGTACTTTCCCTTTTCCATTAAATTCCAATTCAGTACCAGTACCAAAAGTGTTAAACCAGCTGGGGTACTTCTTTGGGGTGGAACTTGAAACACTTTCTTTGTTGGTTGGTTATGCAAATAGTCTGCCTCAAAAAAACAATACAGCCACCATCTTGAAAAAATGTTATGAACTCAAAGCAAGGAGTGGTGTTGAGCGGAGCGGCTTAGTGCGAATTAGAGTGGAGGAGCGGGCGGAGCCAACAGCCTCGTGAGCGAGGAGCGGAAATTCTCACCGCTCCACTCCGCTCACATGCTCTGGTTCATAAATACGTTTGTGGGTGAACTCACTCTAGGAGTGATTTACTGTAAACAGCAAGGATGGAAATTATTGCAATTGTCTTGGATAACACATGCAGCGCTTACGCAAAAGCAGCAGCGGTAAACTTTCAATTGATTTTTAATCATGTATTTAGATAATCTATAAAAGTAATAATAATTAAAATGCAAAGCTAGCTAAGGTTTTTTTTTCTATGACAGAGTAAAAATAATTTAGCTAAACTCCCTGCGCTATAGTGTCCGTACAGAATTGAAAGAAAGTAAAAGCCTAATCTGACTAGGGATGTAAGAATTGCATGTGCATAACATGCGGTGTTGGTATTAATATCACACATACATTATACAACAGTTAGTCCAACCAATAAATCGGATTGGACAAGAGGTGTTCTATAAGTGTGGTTATTGAAGTATAACCACACTCGGACATTTTACATCAGCTGTACTACTCTGCTTTACAGGTGCATCTAAAAACCATTACATATGCCTCATTTCCACTAACACAGAGCCGGTGCTGGGCTAGTTTTTGCTCAGTGCCTTTTGAGAACTTGCTTGCATTTCCACCGGTTTCAAAAATGAATGAAGGTGGAAGTGAGAGTAAAATATAGGTTCTTATGTGTTCTGTTCTGTTGGATTTATTTAGATCTGTTAAGGATTTTGAGTTTTTATAACCTGCTGAACTGAAAAAAAAGGTTTTCAGATTATGACTCATTGCTCTGTCTCCACTGCCTGTATCCACTTTTGTCTTCTTAAAGGCTCCCCATCTGTGTGTATCAGTGAGGTTATTCTTTATTCTCAGTCATTGTTCTATTGCTGTCCATTCATGGAACGCACAATACAAGAGTCCGCTATTAACTGAAGTTTGCTATCTGCCTCATGATTTCTTCATTACTTGAGTGCCAAAATATTTTATTTATTAGACTTGTGGCATGGTTCTAATTTACTCTTACTAAACTTAATCTAAGTTATTCCACTAATGAGCTGGCTAATTTCTTCACTGCTGGCACCCGCAATATTAGACAAAACTATATCGGCTATTAGGGCTGCGGTGATTAGTCAACATGAAATGCGTCAACATCAGTTTTTTAAATCGACACATCGTTTTTTTTTTATGTTAATGAAATTACCTTTTCTAAAACACCTCAGGTCATTGTAACAAATGTTTTCCTTCAATATCACTATGTAATTGTGGGAGTATTTAAAATTATCACACAGCAAAAAGGTGGTTTTACACTGCGCAAAGTTTCAGCAGTAGCGCTATACATGAGCACCTAAAGAGAAAACACACAGGCGCTATTCTGGATGATGGACCACCAGAAGAGGTAAAACCACCTTGTTTAACTTTATTCATGTTTATTAAATTACCATTAGCATGGAGAGCTTTATAATATCTTGTCATTGTAGAATCTTCATTGAATATGTTTTTGAGAAATGTTTAGGCTAGAATCTGAGTTTATTCTATGCTGATTGATGCCATGTGCGTTGGACTTGTTGGGACCAGTGTTCTTACTGTAAATTAAAATGAAAATAGACACAATAAAAAATAAAAAAAAAGAATAATAATTCGTGAAATGAAATAGAAATCAAAACAAACAACCAAAACAACATGTCGGACTTCAGACTGCAATAAGTACCTATCCACCAACACCTTTTTACAATACAGACGCTCCTCTACTTACGAAAGAGTTACGTTCTGAATGGCCGTTCGTACATTGAAATGTTAGTAAGTCGTTATTCAACATCATTTTATGGGTATACGCAAGTACAAAGAACTAGGATGATGGACGTACGCAAGCTACGCTGCTGCGCGGCAGGAGTAGCGGCCATAAGTCGTACTAGGCGGAATTGGCGCGCAGAAAAACATTATGTTGCGGACAGGAAACGGGAGCCCAAGGAACACAATTTGGACTTGCAGTCCTCTTCATTCGTATGTCTGAAAGTTCATAAGTTGAAAGTTTGTAAGTAGAGGAGTGTCTGTATCTCCTCTTTTAAAAGATGTTGTGCCGCTAAACGAACTAAATAAACATAAGGGTATGCTGAATTTATGCAGATTACTAACTTATGGGCATCACAGTATGCCTTGCATTAATATTTTAGGCATACTATTAATATGCCTATCGAATTGTGCATGCAAGTAAGGTCCATATAGTGCCAAGTGGCTGCACTCCTCGTATGTTATTGCTTAGTCTTGCAGCTCTATAATATACTACAGACAATTTTTTGAATTTGGAAAAAAATTAGCTTACAATAATTTGTCTCCCCCAATATTTAGGGAAATTAATCAATTATGCCTGAATGTTTTTTTTCCTCAATAAACAATATTATAAAAATCTCAATAGTTAAGTGACTGGATCATTTAGTTCCAGGATATGAGTGGAATTCATTAATTACAGTATAACTACTTAACTGGGTTAGAGCATCCATCCTGCGAACATAACTCTCCCTAGGTCTGTAGTATAGCAAAACTCTGCTCGCGGCCGTAAGAGTCTCGCAGTTCTTTAGGACAAGCTTGAGACTTCAGAAGCTTATGGTGCATTCCATTATCTCTCCGAAGTTGTAAATTCTGAGGTGTGTGACATCACCTCTGACTAATCTCCGATTTGAGCTACACGTCTTGGAACAAACATGGCTGCCTCCTTGAACACACTATTGTTGCATATTGCTGCTTTATATTGTACCTGATTTTGGAGTGAGATTCTTTTTTTCTGAGAGACAAACATACAAGAAACACAAACCAGTCAAACCACATTAAAAGCTTATATTTTAGTAGATCCATAGTGATATTCTTTTTTCGAGAGGCAAACAAACTACATACAAACAAAAGGCACTAACAAGTCTGGTAAAAATCTGACATTGCATGCTAGGATACTGTTTTTACGGTCATGATAGAATATTCTCTAAATTGACCATGTGAAATTACATTTATAACTATTAATACATTTAAGAAAATAAACTTTTTTTTAATATTTATAAAATAGAATTACTGTTGACTGTGTAAGCTGCCATGTTGAAATAGGAATCTTGTATGACAAAATTCTCTCTGACATCAACATCGAAAAGGAGGCATGTTTCTGACAGGAAGTGACGTTTTTCATGAAGTTTTTATCCAACTTTTATCCAAATCCTGAACACAGGATTAGTAGCGATTTCGCACCAGCGAAGGGACTTGATTATTAGGCAATCATTCAGCTGGAGAATCGAAGGGTATAAAAGGCATGCATTTATTCCTAACACTAGCACATGACAGACATTAGACTTAACACGAAACAAAGACAGAACAGAACAAAACAGAATAAAAGCAATGAGCAAGATGGAATATGAAAAAGTAGGAACTTTATTTAAATGGGTACCCTTAAAGGTAATACTCTTTGGCACAGCAAGCCTTTGATCGTAGAAGCATGACCCAAAATTATACAACAAAAGACTAAGATTGTTTAGATTAGGAAACGAATGAAAGGGAGTTTACATGGTTGTGTATGGGGCCTGTCAATGGGTTACAGGAAGGAAATAATGCACCACGGGAAAGTTGTGACAAAATAAACAAAGAAAATTGTTCCTTTGGAGCAGCGGTTGTAGGTTTCTACAGCGTGAGTTACTGAGGGTCTGAGAGACACTGTAGTAAGAATAAAGAGCTTAGACTGGAAAGGAGTTACGTTGACTGTGTGTGTGACTGCTGGTGGGGTGATAGGAGGCAGAAAGGAAGTTGGGAACGGGAAGTGAAAAATGACAGCTTCAATAGCAGTGGGAATGTTCAAAACTTGGCTTGCTTTTGCAGATCAGATTACCCCTGAGTGAGGCTCTGTTGTACAAATCAGCTTTAACCAGAATGGGGACAACCAGCAGGTCCTACTTCACTTGTAACTATGAAATGTGTTGCGGTTTTAAGCTATTCATGCTGATGGAGAGTTTTGAATGCTATCAGGTGTCTTTCTGATGTGATTCTATAGGTAGATTGTCCACTATGATTAATAGTGACTAAACCCTTGTGTAAGTCTCCTTGTTGTTGGCGAGGGAGTGATTAAAATATAGATTGAACAGATTCAGTCTTTAAAGTTGATTCCTGCCTTGAGCCAAGTGCTTGTGTGCCCAATTAAATTTGCTTGTATTATCAGTGTTGACCACTAGGGACACAATTCAAATGTTGTTAAACTACTATGGCTGACCACTAGAGGCGCAATTTAAAGGGTGTGGTGCTGCTATAGTCCACCCCTAGAGGCTCTACAGAGCATTCCTCCCTCACTGGGGGCCCCAGGCATGTAAGCCTAATGGAGGGGATCACTGGTGACCCCGGAGGAAAGGGGCGTGGCGGGAGAGACAAATCGCGTCGGGGCAGGCCTACAGGCTTCTGACCCCTAAGTGGTTGCAGTGGTGTTCACTGATTGCCAAGGAGATAGCTAGGCAGTTGCCAATGCTAGATGATTGACACAAATCTTCAGTGCATCAAGCAGGCACAGACATATAGAGCCTTTTTTGAAATTCCAGAAGTACGGTACCTGGTGCGGTAAAAAAACGCCATAAAAAAGGTTCCTACTGTGGCAGCACTTCCTGGTTCCTGAAAAAAGTTCCTGAAGTGGGAAAATGTCTCTACACTCATGTTCAGCCACACACATCCAATGGCTTACGTTTCTCTGTCTCTCCCATGCAGTTGTCACTAAGCTGGTCAACAGGGGTTATCAGCCTCACCTGGAGGACTTCCTGCTCCGTATCAACTTCAACAACTACTATAAGGACTTCTGAGGAGCCTTTCATGAGACACGACCTTTGGTCAAGTGGAAAAATGGACAGAACCATGGCAGACTTTTGTCCCACTGTTAGACATATGAAATGTCCATGTGTTTGTTATGTGTGTATTTATGCCAGTTAATATGCTTTGTACAATCTCATGCAAAGGTAAATATATGTATTTTAAAGTCCTGAATATATGCTTTGAACATCTAGAGGAGCTTTGCTGATAATGTATTTGCTGATGTTCATTGTTTTACAGTGTGAAATGAAAGAACCAATAAAGACTAATTTAAACATACTGTGTATTCAGTATAGGGTTGTGTGAGCCTGGAACATCTCCAAGTAAGCACAGGCTATGAGGCAGGGGAACACTGTGGATGGGATACCAGCCCATCACGTCACATATTAATGGTAAAGGCACTGGGAGGATACCAAAGTACCCAGAGGAAACCCCCAAAGCCCTGTAAATAAGCAAGCAGAAAGGACCCCACAAACCTGGATATGAGACCTTCTGTTGTATTACCAATATTAATGCTCTTCAGTGGTGAGGTAGATGTGCAGAGTGAATCAAACTAAATGCAGCAGCAAGGCAAGCTGGATTGTATGAGGTATATTAGGTATAATGTTCCCAAATAATCAGCAGGATTAATAGTTCAATCCAGATCAATCATTATTAATTGTATTCCCTGGACTTCTGGTAATTTTCCCAGACCCCACCTTACCCTTTTGCTATTTAATTAATTTCTGTCATGATACAGAGGAAATTAAGAGCACGGTCCTTATGTTTCATTACGAATCTACATGTTACTGAGGCCAATTTGCTTCACATGCAGAGCACAAGGACAAAACATATGCATGTTGTTTTTATTTTTTTTAAGTCTTGTTTAGTTGTGAAACTGCACCCTAAACAATTTTAGTCTCATTTTAGATGATGAAATCTTTAGCATTTTAAAATTATTTTGAAATCATTCTGGTAACTTTATGAGAGCAAAAATAATGTAGTATCATGCTTTTAATTATGTAATAATTTACTACAAACTAAGTCTTAGTTACATACTGATCTCATGATCGTTCATCATTAATAAATTGTGGCGCATTTTCTATTCCAAGCAGGCACTATATTTCTTACTATATCTGTTAATTCTGTAAATCTTTGTGAAATACTTAAGGAACTAATGAAGGAGCAAGTAATACTGATCTCATACTTGATACTCATTAATGAATTATGATGCATCTTTTATCTCAAGTAGACCAAGGTACTGTATTTGTTCATGATTTGCACTTCAGTATTCCCTGAGTTACTACTAAGAATTTGTGCCCCCTTAGGTACATCACATCCTTTCACTATGTAAGTATTGCATGTTATGCCCATTGCAATGTTCCAATATACATCTCCTCCCAGCTACCACCACTGCAAATTTGGTCCCCCCAAGGTCAAACTCCTTCCGACTCCACTGGTATGATTAACAGGAAAAAGTTTTATTTACAAATAGGTTTACAATTATTTAACAATACTGTTATTTCATGTTCCAGCATGCATGCATTTGTTGAGGTGCATTAAAGACACCTCAGCAAAAAAGAGGACCTCCACCATCTCATTTCTGCAGTCTTCTTATTTCTTATATGACTCATAAAACATATATTTTCAATTTATCCTTGAAAATATATAGACTTCAGAATGGCGGTGAATTCCAGGCTGAAAATGTTGACAATGAAACAGGTTGTGCTGGTCTGGATCTATATACCAGTCAATTAGTATGCACTCTTGGTGGACCTGTAGTTTTTGGATATAGCACCATTCATTATACATTAAATATACAAATGAGATGTTCTCATATTCACACTGTCTTTTATCGTGTTTCCCTTTGAACCAGGTGATGTGTCCCTCTGGGGGTACTACATGTCCCAGATCTCACAAAGCAGCGGCGTGAGCTCCTGTTCGTTGGCACGCCAGGAGAGTAGCATCTCAGCATGGTGGTGGCTGAGCGTGCGCAGCTCCGTCAGCCTTCCCAGCAGACGCGCAAACTGCTGTGGCTCCTGTGGATGGTGCAGCTTGCAGAATTTGTGCAGAATCTCCAGCACAGGCTCCTGCAGCTGCTCCACAGCCCCCTGGTCCTTCACAAAGGGACGGTCTGCAGAGCAGGGTGGCCATCAGAAATGTAATAACTCATGTGCATATATGTATGTCATACACTCTACTTTTTCTAGTATGTTTTGACACAAAACACAAAATAGGAATATTATAGTGAGTTGCTAATATCTGCAAAGACAATTTACACAAGGGGTTTTTCTTTAGTATATTTGTATATTGCATATCCATCCATCTATCAATCCATTCATCCATCCAAACTTCTAATCACTTTCCCTGGTCATGGTTGTTGAGGGTAGGGAGTGTAGCTTATTCCAGGCAGTACAAGTCTGGGGTATATCCTAAAAGACAGTCAGTCACTGGACACATACACACAAAGAGGAATTTAGAGACATCAATTAGCCTAACTACAGGTATGTGAACTGCAGGAGGAAACCTGATTACTCAACACACACACAGAAGAGATGAGATTTGAACCCCCAACCTTGGAGGTGTGTGGCTACTATACCACCCTGTTTGTAAGGTAGTTACGGGAAATTTAGGGTGATTAACCTTTTACCTGAAGACAGGATGGTGATAGCCGTGAGAAGAGCATACTCCTCTTGTAACATTTGGAGCTCCCTGATGCTTTTATAGAAGTTGAACATAGGAATTATATACTGTTCTGATATACCTGAAAGATAAACTCTCCATTATTATGAGAATGTGTAAATGTAGCATTAGCCCCCTGCCCCATATGCCACACATACTTATCTAGCATCTCAATCATTATACACATCACATACAGTGGATATAAAAAGTGTACACACCCCTGTTAAAATGCCAGGTTTTGTAATGTAAAAAAAAGAGACCAATAAATAATTTCAAACTTTTCCCACCTTTAATGTTAATGGTTAGGGATACGCACTTGTAATTTTAAGATTGCAGGTTCGAATCCCCGACCAGCAAGGCACCACTGAGGTACCCTGAGCAAGGTACCGCCCCCAAGCACTGCTCCCCGGGCGCTGAATTAGCTGTCCCTTGCTATGTCACATTGTCAAATATGGGTTAAATGCAGAGAACACATTTCGCTGTGGTGTGTCAACAATGACAATTAATCACTATATTCTATAACCTGTACAAATAAATTGAAAAACAAATCTGTTAAAGAGAAAGATTAAAAATAATCATACAATAAGCTGGTTGCATAAATGTGCACACACATAAACTAATGCTTTGTTGAAGCACCTTTTGATTTATTGATCTTTTGTGCACAGCCATCTTCAGGTCACCCCACAGATTTTCAAAGGGATTTAGGTCTGGGCTCTGGCTGGGCCATTCCAAAACTTTAATTTTCTTCTGAGGAAGCCATTCTTTTGTTGATTTGCATGTATTGTCTTGCTTGAAAAGATGAAATCATCTTCAGCTTTCTAGCAGACACCCAAAGGTTTTGGGGCAGAATTGACTGGTAGTTGGAACTGTTCATTATTCCCTCCACCTTGACTAAAGCCCCAGTTCCAGCTGAAGAAAAACAACCCCAAAACATGGTGCTCCTGCTACCATGCTACACCATGCTATGATGTTCTTTTAGTTATGCGCAGTGTTGTTAAAACATCTTCTGTCTTGCGACTCTACCGCATAATCCAGACATTAGGAGAATATGGGAGACTGTTGTCACATGTAGTACATAACCAGTACTTGCCAGAAATTCATCCAGCTCCTTCAGTGCTGCTGTAGGCCTCTTGGCAGCCTCCCTGACCAATTCTCATCTTGAATTTTCATCAATTTTGGAGGGAAGTTTCGTTCTCGGTAATGTCACTGTTGTCCCATATTTTCTCCACTTTTTGATCACTGTGTTCCATGGTATGTCTAATGTCTAATTTTTTGTACCCTTCTCCTGACTGATACCTTTCAACAATGAGATCCCTTTGATGCTTTGTAAGCTCTCTGAGAACCATGGGTTTGCTGTAAGATGCAACTGAGTAAATGTTAGGAAAATCCTACTAGGACAGCTGAACTTTATTTGGGGTTAATCAGAGTCACTTTAAGGCATTATTTTATGAGTGTGCACACTTATGCAACCAGCTTTTGTACTTATTTTTTAATTTTTATATTTTTTCCTCCTGACAGGTTTGTTTGTTTTTCAGTTGAATTGTACAGGTTATACGTCACATTAGAAGTGGGAAAACTTTGAAATGATTTATCGTTGTTTCATTTGTACAAACTTTAAACAAAATTGTCTTTTGTATATACACACATGCACACACACATATACACTCAATGACAAAAAAGTTAACCACCCAGTAGTGATGGTCCAATTTGGATGTAATTTGGTACACGTGTAGACCAGCGATGGGTATGCAAATGATTTCATTTACAAGGAGCTGGCACGTCTAGTCACCAGACACATAGAATGCCACCTAGACACATTAGACAGCATTTCAAGCACTTCAAGTTTTACAGGGGTCGCATTGTGGGTTTGCAGGAGGCTGGATGGTTGTATTGTGCAATTGCCTGGCATGTGGGGCATGCAGATGTCACAGTCTACTGATGTTGAAACCAATGGGCACATGAGGCCACCCACACACAGCGTGAAGGTTCCGGTCTCCCAAGACAGACCACACCAAGGGAGGATCGTCATATTATGTGGCAAGCATTACAGAACCCCATGATATCTGCGTCTGCCATCTGGACACAGTTATTGGACTCTCTACAGCACCTGGTGCCATCCCACACTGTGTTTCAACAACTGGCATCAGCCAGACTACGGGTTCACCGTTCCATGCATAGGCCACTGTTAACACCACTGCAGAGACAGCTGCACTTGGAGAGGTGCCGTAACCGGGAGGAGCGATGAATCTTGGTTCTGCATTACCACGGATGACCGTCATGTGCATGTGTCTGCGTATTTGCATGTCTTACCTCTCCTGAGACAGCACCCTGGTACAGTCTTTCAACAAGACATTGCCCATCCACACACAGTACGTGTGGACTGCCTGCATCATGTTGAGGTCCTCCTGGGCCAGCCAGATCCCCCGATCTTTCCCCAATTGAACATGTGTTTCTGATTGTTTCTAACAATCAGAAAGCAGCAGTTTGTGTAAAATGCCTCCCTGGGGCCAGAGTTTCTGACATAAAGTCCCAACAATCCGAGGTATTAAAGAGGAGCTTAATTTCTATGTGAGCAAAAGCTAAAACAAAAGGTTGGACTCTCTCTATAGAGGGGATGTGACCTATAGTAGGCTACTCTCCCTAAACTGCTGGTTAGATACATGGTGTGCATCTTAAAACATTGCCTTTATTGATAATTGGGACTTTTTCTGTGAACGGCCTAGATTTTATAAATCGGACAGTCTTCATCGTATCTGGAGAGGATCATTTATGTTACCCCATGTTATGATACCCTGTTTATTCTCCCACTTTTAGATCATGTTTGGCCTTGACCCAGGTGCTCCATCACACGGCATCCCCTAAATCTAGCAACTATTTAGAAACACAGTTGAGTGAGCATAGAAAGAATATTATAAGTATTATTTGACCAAGACTCCACTGGGGGCTCCTGTGCAGATAACTTAATATTAATCCCATTTTTAAAAATGAATCACAACATAAAAATGAGTCACAACATAAACCCATCATAAAATGCACACTATTGAATGCTCTTTAGAAAGTAAATTGCTTCTTGTTAATAATATGGTGCTGGACACTGGAGCAAACCTGTGTTTTTTAATTGAAACCTGGCTCAGACCCACAGACACTATACCTCTTGCTGAAGCCTCACCTGAGTTTAGTTTCGTACAGAAACCACGTGGATCAGGGCTTGGAGTGGCCTTAATGTTAAAACTTGAACCCAAGATTATCAAAGATTTTGCAGCATTTGAAGCAATGCCCATTAATATTCTTGTAATATACAGACCACCAGAATCATACACTTTGTTTCTGACAGAATTTGGGGAACTTCTCTGTTATTAACTTAGAGAATATTATAATACTTGGAGACTTCAATATACATGTGGACATAGAGACTAATGCCAGCAGCAAAAGTTCCCTGCCTCTCATGGACTCTGTTGAGTGTAACCAACATGTAACAGGACCAACACATATTCACAATCATACACTAGACTTGATTATTACTCACAGAATTTCTGCTCATCATGTATGTCTGTCCATTGAATTAGTCCTCTGACCATTTTCTAATCATCTATTTACTACATTACTTACTGCATTATTAATTATTATTATTAATAATGCATTATTATTAATGCAGTAAGTAATGTGAACTTCATGTCTAGTACAGATGTCAATGAATTCACCCATGACTTCAATACAGTGGATAGTCAGATTTTAGATGAAATAGCAATAAAGTGGTAAAAAGCACCAGATCACACACACACTTGCAAACAGGAGCATCGCAGATTGGACCACAAATGGAAATCCACAGGCTTAGAAGTCCTCAAGTTGGCATGGTCTGACAGCCTGCAACTATACAAGCAAGCCTTTTATAGGGCACGTTCAGCCTATTATTCTAGCCTCATTGATTGCAATAGAAATAAGCTTTGCAACTTTTTAAAAATAATAGCTCATCTAACAAGTAAGGCTGAAGGTCTTTGAAATCCAATATAGCCTCCCGTTGACCACAGCTCCAAAGTACAGAATCAGATGTTCCATTGCCTCACTAACTATAACAACATTTATGAAACAACTTCCACAGTCCTTCAGCCTAACATCTGAGGCATCGTGTACAAATGAACTTGAACAGGCAACTGCAAACATGAAAAAATCCCTTCGTAGCACACTAGATCTTGTAGCCCCACTTAAGTAGATAAAGCACAGAGATAAGAAGCCTGCCCCCTGGTACTCTGATCATACACATGAACTCAAACAGGCATCACGCAAGCTAGAGTGCAGATGGCGCTCAACTAAACTAGAAGTTTTCAAATCTGCATGGAAAGAGAGCCTGTCTAAATACAGACAAGCACTAGTGACTGCTAGGTCTGTGTATCTCTCCAGATTAA